TCGCATGTATATATTTATAAAATATACAAAAATTAGATCTTTTGTGTAAAGTACATAGATTTAAAAAGTTTATATGCAATTTTAAAACAAGTAAAAGAAATAAGTATTTTACTTGACCTTCCGCATTTATTTGTTCAAAAAGTACTGTTTTGTCTTGTACATTATTCATTTTCAGAAATATTGTGTACACAGAATAAAAGTACGTACTACAGGTAGTTTATTTACACACTATACAGGATTGGAGATTCATAGAATCAATAATACTATTAATACGCGAATTGATCAATTGATGTATATTATACATAAGCTTATTTGTCTACTTATTTTGAAAAAAACAAGAATCGCATAAAGGACACGTTGGCAGGATTATTCAATAAAAAAAAAGAGCCGCAGCTGTAATGACGCATCCTTAATTATCATATTAAATTAAAATAGGCAACGGCACATACACGTAGCCTTCCTAAGCAAAAGAAAACTTTTGGGTTCGATGTATTTAGAAAACGCAGAATTCAGTCTTAAAGGTAGGAAGCACGCATGTTTTCCTAAATAACTCGCTTTGGTCTTAGAACTGCGTTTACGTTACATGTATGCATATATTTGTACATGTACTTTATCGCTTCAACCTTACTTGATGATATAACAATATTAAGCACTTTAACGAAAATGAAAGCATTACTTACGATGCAACTGATGTACATTTGGACAGTTTGCACAACGCGAAAATTAATAAATAAAAATGACCAGAATGCAAGTAGGCATTACATGTGAAAAAATGGCCTATAGATAAATTTAATACATAAAATTGGTCGCTCTAATGATCATTGTTTACTGTTCGCAAGAATAAGTTCATCATCGCAGTGATACATGTTCTTCTTTAAGAATTTGTTATATGCTTCTTTCTATCCGTGGTTTTCTCGTGTGGTCTGTTCGTTTTGTATTTCTTCAAGCGTTTTAACCTGTACAGTCGATCCCTCTGATGAAGAAGTGTTAATGGAAGAAGACGAGGAAGACGAAGAAGATGAAGAAGACGATGAGGAAGAAGATGGATCATCGTTAACAATCAGAGGAGCACCATGACCAGGAGATGGACTGTGCACTGGTCGAAAGGAGAAGCCAGAAGAATCGAGGCTGGAACAAGATTCCGGAGTTCCAAGTGAACTAACGGTTCCTGAATGTAGACTAGATATTGCCACATCCAATCTGTATTAAAAAATTAAATATTATAAATATTATTACATTAACATTTCACTTTTTGTTTTGAATAATTCAATTACCTAGATGCAGCAGAAGTTAGCAAACCAGAGGTACGTTTTGTGGGAGGTTGTAATTGATCCATTCCAGAATCGTCTAATTCAAATTTTCTCTTAACTGACGCTAAACAACTCGGTCGTATTGCGATAGGACTCAAGCTCCGTCTAAATAAAGATTACATTTTCAAAATTTCTCAATTGATAAAACTATATTAATAAATTATATCTTCTTTATGCATAAATAAATATACCTTGTAGCAAAAGCTTTTCTAGTAGGACTAGGTGACAAATTACTTTTCCAAGTAGCTGCATGAACACCAGGCGAATAGCACTGTCTTTGACCAAAACTAGTTCTAGTTGGTGATGGTGAAGAATACGTAGTTGGGCCACTTACAGATAAATTGATACTCAATGGATCAAGAACTCGTTTTACAATTGGCCGTGACTCTATTTTAAATTGTAATGAAGCTGATTCTGAATCTTTGAAAGATAATCCTTCTGCTTCTATGGTGAGATCCTCCCATGATTGAGAGATCTGCATGGCACTGTGTATTTCTTTTTCATGTGCTGCTTCACGACCAGCAACATCAATACATTCTTCTTGTCTCAATTGACTTACACGTGGCGTTAGCCTAGGAACAGTTCCAGGACTCTAAAACAACAAATATTCCATAGTTGAAAATACAGTTTACTAATTTATATTATTATATGAAATATTACAAAACTATATAAGCAAATGTTACTTTTAATTTTAATAAAGGTGCCCAATATGTAATCATTATATTCAATTTGAAATAATTACTTTCTTTTAGTTTTAAAATAGCACATTATGGACATTAGCATTATATATTTACAGTAAAAAAAAAATTCAAAATTTGATGGAACATCCCTGCAAACAATTAAAATTGACCTTTTTCAAAAGAGTACACAATTTGACTAATCAACTACAGCTAATTTTAACATATAGATTATACTGATTTTAAAATTAATAGCAAATACCTTGGCGTAGAAGCGGATGGTGATGTCACAGACATTGTTGCAGTGATCTTGTTGATCATGGGTGCACTATTAGACCGTTTTAAACTAACTACTGTGCAGTCAACATCCATGATCATCCAGACCAATTATTTTTTGGTACATCTGTCTGGAGACACTATTCAAGGACTCAAAGTACATTGGAATATATGCAACAATATAGTTTACTAAGCAGATCAGCAATTAATTCTTGGTACAAAATAAATGTATATCACGTCTTTTTCTGCTGCTGCTGCTGTTCGATAATTCAGTAGTAGCAAATTCTGTCTTTTCGCACGAGAACTAAGAAGATGCCGCATTTGAGCTCTCATTTAAACTCTGCCGCTTCGATTTTCGTTTCACGTTTTGATGCGCTGTTAGCGCGAAATATTTCTAATCGATCTTTTGCTTTGTAAGATAAAACAGCACAAAAAGAGAACTATTGAAATGTAGATTCTATCAAATTAAAAGTATGCATAGCAAAAGAACGAAGTAGCAAAGTACAGAGACTAATTCGGATGTTCTTGATTTCTAGTTCCTACTTGAACCACCGTACAGAAACCGGGTTACAAATTACAACTTGATTTAATTTCGTAACCCCTGACTCTTCAACAATATTACGAACTGCAAATAAATTGTAATTTCTTCAACTGATGGTCGAACACCTATCGTTTCTTATCGCAAAGCACGCGTATGTCAGACCTGACTACGATCCTTTTGCTTCCTTAGGAAAAATCTTTCGCGATTAAGAAACACACTGAATTTGTTGGTAGCCTTGAGCCTTCGTTAAATCTATGAGCCTAAGAATACATGATCGAATTGTAAAACTAACTACTATATAAATTATCGGAAAGGGGAAAAGGGAGGAGAATTATGCTATCTTCAATGATCCTTTTCTAAAATTATAGTTTCTCTCTCTTTCTTTCAAAAGGCGCAACATTTAAGTATTTTCAATAATACTCGTACATTGAAATGATTCTGAATTTTTTTACGAATAAAAAGTAAGTAATTTAGTTTTAATAATATATTTTCCTTATATTAAAAAATAATTGAATATAAAATCAAATATTAAGTACAAATATTTTAAAGTTATCGTTATGACTTTCGCAATGAATGCGAGTAAAACGAGAGTCATATAACGAACGCATTTTGAATCGTATTGTTTAAAATTGGTATTTAAATAATATATTAGTCTTACCATTTTTTTTAAATTATAGATACGTACAATCGTGAATTTATTTTAAATGTACTTAAATTGTATTAT